GACCGCGCGGGCCTTGTTGCCACGCCTCTCGGGCACCTCCTCCCTTCCCCCCCTTCTGCACCCCTCCCCCGTCCTTGCTTTCCTCTCCTCCCCCCCCCCCCCCTTCTACGTGACAGACAGGAGCTCCACGGCCACTCTGGTTTTTTTGGGGCGCCCGCGCGCGGAACGCTGGTGTGGGATGGGCGCCGTTCTTATAGCTACCGGTGAAGAGCATCCCGTTTCGTGCATCGTGATCTCTCTGCCCCCATGCCCGCTGGCGATGGTCGCCAGAGCGTGGGCGAGACCGCGAAGGGTGAGAAGCTAAAGCCTGAGGGTGCTCAAGATTCTCAGGCAAGTGCTGGCTCAGACACCCGTGACAACCGAGGATGATGGGAACAGTTGTCGACCCTCGTCAAGGTTCTTAGGGATTCCAAGGGTCCCTCCCGCGGCCTCCCAGTCAAGTGCTGCAGCCAGCGCAGACGATTGGATCCCCGGAAGGGACCGACTGCTCCACTTAGATTGTAGGAAGGGTGGTGGTTGACGAGTTGGAGTTGGTGGCCTGGGTGGGTTCGAACGAATGGTCGGATACCCGTCGAGATCAGGCCAGGGGTAAGACCACCCAGGAGCCCATGAACCAGATATGCTTCTGTTTTTGTGGCCTTTGTTGTTGGCGTTGCCCCTGTGGGGTAATCCAAAGGTTCCGCCGCAACCGCTACTTTTGCCTGGTGTGGTTAGGCTGTGAAGGCAAGCGCTTAAGCGGACAGGAATCGTTTGTTTCCCAATGCGTCTGGTCTGCAGCATCAAACAACATATGCTTCTGTTCTTCCTTCCTGTCACGGACTTGAGCACGCGGGTCTGTACCTGGACACCCTCAAGTCCCTGGCAGTTCGAACAGGCTGTTCCGCGTTTCGTTCATCCTTATTCCTCCCCATCCTCCCTCCTCCCATCCCTGCCTCTGCCCTCCGCATGTCAACCATTCCCGCCCAGCCCTCACACGCTTCGTGACAGTATAAGGAGCACCACTGCAGGTCACAGAGGGAGCGTTTGCATGTGGGTCGGGACACCCCTCGTGGTCCCATGGGGAACTCCACCGAAGGCTTCAAAAGGGCGTTCCCATGTGGGCGTCCCGCCCGTTTCGGCACACCCTCACACGTTTCTCGTGGCTCCATAAAAGGGGCTTTCACAGAAGACCCCAGAATGAACGCTCGCATGTGGTCACGCTCGTGTCGGGACACCCCTCGCACGCTTCGTGGCCTCATATGGGGGCTCCGCCGACGGCGTTTCCGTGTAGGGTTCCACGCCCAATGGTTTCGGGACACCCTTCACACGCTCTCTTCGTGGCCCTATAGGGAGCTCCACCGCAGGCCCCAGAGGGCGTTCGCATGTGGGCGTTACGCCCGCTTCGGGACAAAAGGAGCTCCACTGAAGGCCCCAGAGGGAACGTTCGCATGTGGGCGTCTCGCCCGTTTCGGCACACCTTTCACGCGCTTCGTGGCCCCACATGGAGCTCCACCGAAAGCCCAGAGGGGAGCGTTCGCACGTGGGCGTCTCGCCCGTTTCGGCACACCCTTCACGCGTTTCGTGGCCGCATGGGGAACTCAGCCGAAGGCTCCAGAGGAAGCGTTCGCATGTGGGCGCCAGGCCCTTATCGGGACACCAATCACACGCTTCGTGGCCCCATGGGAGCTCCACCGAAGGCCCTCGAGGAAGCGTTTGCATGCGGGCGTCCCGCCCTTTTCCGGGTCACCCCTCACACGCTTCGTGGCTCCATAGGGAGCTCCACCGAAGGCCCCAATGGCACGGTCCGCATGCGCCCCCCAATTTAGGCACGCCTTTCGCGCGGTTCGTGGCCTGATGGGGGAGCCCACCGAAGGCCACATTCACAGCTGCGGTACTGACACCTGCACACGTTTGGGCCCTTCGCCTGGATGCGGTGTTCTGTGAGGGAAGCGGGGGTGCACGCAGGCTTGCGCTGCAAAAGAGGGGGACCTTCGTGCCCTCTCAGTGCTCATTCAGTACCTTCGCCGCCACGGCTACCGTGTGGCCAGGGCGTGTCACCGAGCTTCGGAGGGCAGCGCTCGGCTGCAGCAGGCCTGTTATTCGGCCATCGCCGCAGGACATCGAGGCACTGTTTGAACTGATGGGCGCGTGGCGCTCACCGACGTCTTCCTACTCCTTCACCCCCGTGAGCTCCAGCGATGCCACTCTCAGACCTCAAGCGTCTCGAACAGATCAGGACGGATGCCGTTCGTCATCGGGAGCTCTGGGGCCCATGGGCTGAGAAACACACACGCACACACACGCACGCACACGCACACGCACACGCACACGCACCCGCACACGCACCCGCACACGCACCCGCACACACATCCACACACACACACACACACGCACGCACGCACGCACACGCACACGCACACGCACACGCACACGCACACGCACACGCACACGCACACGCACACGCACACGCACACGCACACGCACACGCACACGCACACGCACACGCACACGCACACCCACACCCACACCCACACCCACACCCACACACACACACACACACACACACACACACACAAACACAAACACAAACAAAACACAAACACAACACAAACACAAACACAAACACAAACACAAACACAAACACACACACAAACACAAACACAACCACAACCACAACCACAAACACAAACACAAACACAAACACAAACACAAACACAAACACAACCACAACAAACACAAACACAAACACAAACACAAACACAAACACAAACAAAAAACAAAAAACAAAAACAAAAACAAACACAAACACAAACACAAACACAAACACAAACACAAACACAAACACAAACACCAACACAAACACAAACACAAACACAAACACAAACACAAACACAACCTCAACCACAACCACAACCACAACCACAACCACAACCACAAACACAAACACAAACACAAACACAAACACAAACACAAACACAAACACAAACACAAACACAAACACAAACACAAACACAAACACAAACACTAACACAAACACAAACACAAACACAAACACAAACACAAACACAAACACAAACACAAACACAAACACAAACACAAACACAACCACAAACACAAACACAACCACAAACACAAACACAAACACAAACACAAACACAAACACAAACACAAACACAAACACAAACACAAACACAAACACAAACACAAACACAAACACAAACACAAACACAAACACAAACACAAACACAAACACAAACACAAGCACAAACACAAACACAAACACAAACACAAACACAAACACAAACACAAGCACAAGCACAAGCACAAGCACAAACACAAACACAAACACAAACACAAACACAAACACAAACACAAACACAAACACAAACACAAACACACACACACACACACACGCACACACACACACACACATACCTCACACCTCTCACCTCTCACCTCACAGCCGAGGGGGCGCTCCACCGCGGAGTGCCGCTCATAGACTGGATCGGCAATGCTTGGGCAGACTGGTTCGCGTCGGTGGCCATGTGGCAGGTCCGGCTGGCGCCAGGGCTCGCGCGGAACCTCGAGCTCAGGCTCCAGCACGTTCTCAGCGTCGTGGAGTTTCACGTGTGGGCCTCCGTGCAGGTGTATTCATCGGGCCTCTGGGACTCGAATGAGGCGGCGATGACCAGGCCGCCCCCGGCCCCGCCCAAGCTGACCATCATCCAGCACGACTTGCACTGGTGCCGCCACCCTCGGCCCCAGGACCGCCAAGGCCTTGTCTGCCTTGCCTGCGGGCGCACGGCCTACACCGAAGGCACCCAACGGGCGTTGGCGGGGTCCGCGTGCGCGCCGACCACCCTGGGCCACGAGCGGGCGCTCTCCGTCCTCGGGGCCGCGCCCACAGCAGCAGGCACTTCGCCGGCGGTGCCTCCCCCGGCCACCTGTTGCGCCGACGCCAGCGTGGCCAACGGGAGCCAGCGGGACGCCAGCCTCCAGGCCAAGGTGGATTATCTCCTCCACGCCGCACGCGCTGCCGCCCCCGCCGCGCGGGCCGCCGGCGCGCTGACGCTACGGCCCGCGGCCAGTGGAGATTTTGGCCTGGATCGGGCGCCCGCGCCGCCCGCGCCGCAGCCCGCGGCCGCTGGAGATTCTAGCCTGGATCGGGCGCCGGCGCCGCAGCCGCGCCGCTGGCTGGTGGACCCGCAACGGTGGCAGAGGCTGGCGGACCGCCGTGGCAGGCCGCGCGATGATGGCCCAACGGGCGGCCGCGGCTCGGAACCCGAGGATGATTATGACATCGCGCCGCGCCCCGAGGCTGGCCCCTCTCAGCCGGCTGGTCAGGGCCCCGTGCCTGGCCGTGCTGCGCGTGAGGGGCAGGGGCGTGGTCGGTCCCGCTCACCGGCTCGCGAGCTCGACGCCGGGCCGCACCCCGACGCTGGCCTCTCGGTGCTGCCGCCCGCCGATGATGGAGAACCCGACGCAGGGGACGCGGGCGTGCCATCCGCTCCCAGCCCGGCGCAGGGGGCTGCGGTCTCGCACCTCGTGGGGGCCCTCGTGGTGGGGGCGCTCTCGGCCGCAGCCGCGACCTGTGGGACCGAGGGCGCCGAGGCGGACCCGCAGCCGGACGCGGCGCCTGGCGCAGGAGAGGAGGCGACCCCCCGCGATGCCCTCGCGGCGCACGACGGCGGGGAGCAGGCCGCCGACGGCGCTGACGCGCTCCGCCTGGCGCCCAAGCGCCCCAAGCGGGCTCCACGGCCGCCGCGCGCTGGCCCGATCCTGGCGGCGCTTGGCCCGATGATGGAGAGGCTCGAGGCGCGCGCCCGAGGTGCGGAGGCACCCGCGCCTTCGGCTGCCTCAGCTGGGGGTGATGCTCGCCCTGCTGGTTCGGCGGAGGCGGCGGCGCCCCGTGGCGCTGCTTCGCAGGTGCACGTGCCCGGCGACGCCGAAAGCCACGGCCAGCAGCAGCCGAGCGCGAGGTCTCGTGGCCGGATGGCCGAGTGCGGGGCCACGGTGAGCCG